TGGAGGGACTATGTCTCTCAGCTGTCCTGGAAACGCCTCGGGATCCCCCCAGAGGAGCTGGAGGAAGTGGCCGGGGAGAGGGAAGTCTGGGTTTCCCTGCTGAGACTGCTGCCCCCGCGACCCGACCTCGGATAAGCGGAAGTAAATGGATGGATGGATGGATGGATGGATGGAGTATTGGTAAATTAGTTAAACAGGATATACCTCTCCTAAATCCACGTTGGCTATCCCTCAGAGTGTTATTTGAATCTATGTAATCTACCATTTTGACTTTGATTATAGCTTCTATTATTTTTCCAGATGCAAGTTAAACTGATTGGCCTATAGTTTGCTGGATTACTTCTATCCCCTTTTTTGAATATGGGTGTTATATTAGCATGCTTCCAATCAGAAGGTACCACATCAGCAGATAGGGATTTCTGGAATAGTAAAGTTAAAGGTTGGCTAATAATATCCCTCATCTTTATCGTTATGATTAATGAACATGAGATCAGTACTTAACTAACACTTAGTTTCTGGTTAATTAATAGTAAGAGTATATTACTATATTATTTGTAACTCCTCAAATAAAGTTTAACCTAGATTTTTTAATAAAAATTGGACATGGTGGAGTGAAACCTTGTTGGAACCTTGTTTGAAAAGAAATTGCATTGTTTGACATTGTAACCAATTTAAAATATGTTGATATTAATAAATACTGGCAATTTTTGTCATCAGTGCAGAATGCATGCAAGAGGAACAATACTATAAGCTGTGCAGGGGGCCCAAACATGTTTTCCTGGACCCTGGGGGGTCCTTGGATTAAAAAAAAAAAGTTGAGAGCCACTGTTCTAGATATGCTGTCTCATGAAGAGGTAACGATGGGAATTTCTGGCAGAGCCTGGAACTGTAGCTGAAGTCGTCGTAGTGGTCAGAGGCTTCCATGGCTGGAAATGAGACTTCCACCAACTGCTAAACCTTGGTTTCAGTGGAAACAGTGCAGGTTCCAGTCTGACTGGAGCAATGGACCTGCTTTTCTCCCTGGCATTATGCTGACACGTGCTTGGGAAAAAGGCTTATGCCACTTGTGATTCTCATGGATTTCCTAAATAAGAGGTGGTGAGATTTAATAGCTGAAATCTTGGCCTACTTCTTGTGAGCATTGAGGAGCTCCATGCTGAAGATATGGGGACTGTGGAGTTGCATGAGGCTTGTGACTTACTGACCAATCTGTGGTCATGAGCTGTGGGAGTGGGCATGACTATAAGCAGCAAGATTAAGTAAGATTAAGGCTCCTAGGGGGGAAGTTCCAAAGGGTATGCTATAGGGTAGAGTATACTCTGCAGGGACTAGAATAGTGTGCCTTTTTGGTTGGCACTCGTCGCAGGGCCCGGCACCCTGCTGGATTTTAACAGTACCGCAATAATACGGATAACAGTGATAATTTTGGTCACTATAATTGTGGTATTAAATTTCATCTCTATTGTAGAGGTACAATAGTATTCAATTTTGCCGTCTCAGTCTGCACACAGACATGTAGGAGTGAATGTGAAGCTTGGGGTCTGAGTTATGGATCAGCTATTTCTTTGGTGCCCCTGAAGCATTTTTCAGGGTTGAAGGACTTTCTCAAGGGTCCAACGGTGATGCGACTTCTCATGCCGAGCATAAGATTTGACCTGAGGACCTTCTGACCACAGTCATAGATCCGCACACCATCCCTTCCAGGTGACTTTGGACTGCCTGGGAATTCCTGAGAAGGGATATTAAGTGAGATCAGATTTGACCACTTGCTGTGATGCCACTGTGACCTGCGTGAAGTTGGCCCCTTATATGTTTCAGATTTCAACCAAACTGGTCTCAATCGTATGTGCCGCGTTTGTGGCAGTTTGTGCCGTTAAAATTGTGCTGTTTTACTTTCTGAGCTATAAATGTTTGTTTACATGGTGACGTCATCAGCGAGAAGTTAGCTCCCCATTTGTGTCTGTTTTACACCAGACCGATCACAATCGTGTATGCTGTTTGTGCTGGTTTGTGCCGTTAAAACTGTCCTTTGTGCTGCTTCAGTGCAGAGATATTGCTCATTTACATGGTCACGTGACTCCACCGTTAAATTAGCCCTCCTTTTGCCTCCGTACTGGTCTCAATAGTTTGTGCCGTTTAAAAATTGTCTGTACTGTTATTTTTTCTGAGTTATATCTCTTAGTTTACGCCTTTACATGGTTGCCGTGGCTCATGTTTCTCATGTTAACAGAAGGTGGAGCGTTTGATGACTCCGCAACAAAGCTGTACGCAGACTTAGTCACCCCACCAGCCAGATACCGCATTTCAGGATGCTAGATAAATATCGTGCTAGATATTTTCACAAATGACCGACCGTTATATATATACTGCCTTGTTACGTGCAGGCTTGACCCAGGTTATCATCTGTTCTAACCAAGTCTTATCGATATGCTGTTTTGTTTGACACTTCCTTGGAAGGTATCCGACATACACCAAATGTAATTAAAGTACTCACATTATAATTAAACGCAACAATAACAACTTACCGAATTCCTCCAAAGCTGTCATGGAGTTCAATGCTCCAGTCACCTGCTTTGCATGGTGTTTGTTTTTAAGGCAGCCAGCATCGCTGTTTTTAGCTGTGTTTTCAAATTCTTGTATTCATTTTCACTTTTTAAAACTTGTTCACGGCTTGCTCCATTATTCTGATAACTCCTTCTCCAATTCACTCTGCATTGCTTCGTAAACTTTTGTTATCCACTCTGTCAACTCTAACCCCGCCTCCTGACGTCACGTGCTCCCAACTCTTGCCCAGTAGTCTTTCGGGGTCAGAAAAATAAGGTCCGGCCCAGATATATCAACCACTGTTGTTTTTTGCTGCGAATGCATCAAACGGACCAGAATTTAGGCTCAGCACGGGCACCGGCTCTGCTGTGAAGCTGCTAGTAGAGGATTCTGAGCGGGACAGGCTTTCATTGTGTGCTTAATGGTCGTTCTTCTATGATCGGAATTGCAGATGTTTTATGTTACATGTTTATGTTAATAACCTCTTGTTTCTTTTATTTGCCAGGTGATTCCTACACACAATTCCAGTTTGCTGAAGAGAAGGACTGGGAGCTGGATTCACTGGCTAACAATCAGGCACGAGTTAATTTTATTTGGCTAGCATAGCTTTTTCTCATAAAAATATTATTTCTGAGAGACGCTTTGCATTCTTGAATTTGCTGAAAATATTATTTAACTGGTTTTTGCATACTGATTGTACAGCCCTGTTTACACTTGATTTTAAAATGCGTATCGGGAGATCAAATCACAAGTGGACAGCACTACATACAAGTGCAAACGACCACCCAGATGTATTGTGATCTGATCACTCAAATTACTTACCAAGGTGTCTGGGATGCATTTGACCACGCATCTTTTGTGGTGTAAGTGCTAATGTGTTATGAATGCATCCCCAACAAGGATGTCACAATAGCATGGCACAGTAGCAGTGCATGGGGCAGTAACGAAATCTGAACACAAGTGGTCACCTTGGAGACACATGATAGACATGGTGATGTGACTTGGTTTTCTTCTTGTGATTAGATAACCCAAGATACATTTTAAGACCAAGTGCAAATAGGGCCTAAGATAGGGCTGGGCGATATATATAATTTTGTCATATATTCGATACATTTTTACATACAAAATGGTTTGATAATCCATCCATCCATCCATTTACTTCCGCTTATCCGAGGTCGGGTCGCGGGGGCAGCAGTCTCAGCAGGGAAACCCAGACTTCCCTCTCCCCGGCCACTTCCTCCAGCTCCTCTGGGGGGATCCCGAGGCGTTCCCAGGCCAGCCGAGAGACATAGTCTCTCCAGCGTGTCCTGGGTCTTCCCCGGG